TACTTCTGCAGGACCATTGCAGCATCAGACAGCACATAGTAAGCTCTTGATGATTTCAGGATGAGCTGGAGTTTCATTTTGTACTGCCATGATCCAGGAATCATTCCTGACTGACTGCAGTGCTTCCCCTTCTGGAAGGAGCCCACTGTGGGAGGAACAGAACCCCATCAGTGACTCTCCCCACTAACACATGCCTGAGGCACAGCAGCACAGGCAGGGTGGGCACTGCCTGATCACAGCCCTGCACTCCAGTGGCATCTGCAGAACAGCCCAACCCGGGGCACTTGGCCATGCACTGCTCCTGGGAATGCAGTGGGACAGTGACAGTGCCTCTCTGACCTCAGACAGCTGGTGCAACACAGGAGCACAGGCCAATGCTTCTCCCTCAGGGAGCAATAGAAAAAACCCCAAGAAAGTCACAGGCAGAATCTGTCGTGTTCTCCACCACACCCTTAAGATAAATGCTCAGTCTCTGTATGAACAGCCTCAGTGAGAAAGCTTCCATGTGTGGGTTCAGCCTCCAGCACACAAGAACCTGGATCACCTGGTCCTTCCCACAAGGAAAACCAAGCACTTTCTCACACTTATTTCAGGATATCCTCTGCATAAGGCTATGAAGCTTTTCTTTGATGCTGCAGTGGTTATGGAGCCAGCAAGGACAGGTCACTGTTCCTGATTTAAGGCCTGTCCCCACCAAGGGACAGAATTTTGCCCTGGCAGGATTCACACACAGAAATGTGTCTCTTGCTTAAGGTGGATTTACAAGGCCTGACTTGCAAACCCACTACCTTACCACATTATATAAATACATAGTAAGTAAATATAATAAATCCTTAAGCAGTACATGTTCCACTAGGACAAAACCAATGCAAAACTGTAACACCCCAGCCCACACTGCACATACCCTGTATCCATCCACTGCTCATAGGTAGTTCTTTTGAAATTAGAAATTCCAGGATTTAGAGCACTTCTCCTTTCCATATGTACGTAAATATGCACATGTGGCAGAGAAAATACATAATTCACATCACAGAAAACAAACCCAGGGACTGGGAAACAGAAGAGAGCAAGCAGCTCTGCTGCTGCTTCAGGGATGGACTCAACACAGATCCAGCAATCTGTGAGTGTCAATAACTCAAAATTGAACTGGCTTCTTGTTCAGAGATTTTTCAAAGGCAGAAAGGAGGAGAAAGGAAAGAATAAAGAACTGCCAAAGTAGGCAAGATAAATTTTTTTTCTGGGCTATGCTTACAGGGCTCCTTGCTCTGCAGAGAAGTCCACTACTTCAAAACAAAAAGTCTTTCCTGGAACTTTTTATGTTGCTCCAGAACAAAAAAAAAATAGAGAGACTGTAGTCTGAAACTTCAGGAGTTTGAGCCTTTCAGCAAACAAAACATCTTTTATTTGCTGCTTCTTTTCACAACTGTAGAGGTACAGGGAAAAAACCAAAATCCTAGTTAACGTTTTATATGCAAGTCAAGCACCTGATGTAGGAACAAAACCTGCCAGAAGGGAGAAATTCTTCCAGAAAACATCCAGGCCACACACACATAAAGAAATTCAGGCTATTTTAAAATCAACCCACAAAACTTACCAAACCTCAAAATACCAAACCTTTATGGAAGTCACCTGAAAGCCACATTAAATAGAGTCCAGTAAAATCATGTGTTGACTAATAAAAGATTCTTTGCTATGCAAAATAACTCAAATGAGCTCCTCTGTTCATATTTAAAAAGGAACAGACTGTTCTCCAATTTTCAGTGCACTTTTCCTTAGGCAATGCTGTAATTAGTGATTTAAGCACACACTGTTTTGACAATCCAAATAAAGTAGCAGCAGTTTGTGTTGGCACTGGAAAGGTCCTATTTGCACAACAATACAACTTACTTTTGTCTAGAAACAAGGCCATCTGTTTTTCCAGAGACTCAGGACCACCACTGGTGGATTCATCCTCATATTTCAACGGGATTGGAGTGCTGGGGTCAGCTGCAGGAAGGTCACCTTCCTTTTTAACACTGCTGTCAACAGACTTCAACCCCTGCAAAAGGGAGAAATCCTTTCCTTCACCTGGAGAGCAATATTTAGCAAAGAGCAGATGAAGGAGGGTGGGAGGTGAGGCCCCCTCAGGGAGCTGGCACTGCACTCACCTCCAGCACGTGGTTGAGCACCAGCCTGCAGCGCTCCTCGGTGCCATGGCAGACAGGGAAAGCACAGCTGGGCTTCAGGGGGGGAACAGAAGAAATGATCAACACAGGAAATATAAAATCACTGGCCAGAAGATGCAAATGAGAGGTAACAGCAAGACAAAGTGCAATATGGTAAGGAAAAAAAAAAACTACATGAAGCTTTTACCATAAAATTCCAACACCTCAGATTTTATGAGCAGCTCATGAACTGTTTTTCTTTGCCCATTTCAGTTCACCTGAAGGCAAAACTACCAGGGAACTGAATTTCATAGCCATGAACTGAACTACCCAGGAAATCCCTTCCACACCCCCAGTGCCACTCACACGTATTCGATGCACAGACTTGTACTTTTCTGGTACTGACAGCTCCCCAACAGATTTGATGATTGCCACTGCTTTATTGTCATCTGGGGGATCAGAACTGTTGCTGTAGGAACCGTTTTCATCACTGTCTGGCATCTCCTCCTCTTCCTCACTGTAACTTTCATCAGAATTGCCATTTATAGGGAAGTCTGCACTGTCTTCTTTTTTAGGTTCATCCAGCTGAAAAAGCTCTGATAACATGTAGTTTGCTGAAGCAATAATCTTTGCAAAGAAGAGAAAAAAATTATTCATTCTCAAGTTCAATTTTTCTTTTGAGAAGCAAGAATATAAATGATCTTAGAATAAGGAGGACAGAGGACATGCTGAGGTGTTTGATAACCTGAGCAAATTCCCTGGAAGGGAAAAGGATCCAAGCTGATCAAGTTGAGAATAAAAACCAGAAAACAAGTACTGCCTGTTCTGACAGCTTGCAGATCACAGGAGACAACACAAGGGTTTATGCAAGCAAAAAAAAAAATAAACTGAAGAGATCCCATTGGGATTTTGAAAATCTTTCACAACTCTACAAGGAATCCACATTTCCACATTCTTATTAGTTTCATGGGTCCCATGTCTCCTCTCCATTCTAAACATGACTCAGATTTTTCACATCACATTTTTGGGATTCATTTTCAGTTCCAAACAGTTTAAATCATTTAGAGACTCTCCAGCCCAGCCCATCAAGGCAGGTTGCTCAGAACTGTGTCCAGCTGGGCTTTGGGTATCTGAAAAGATGGAGACTGCAACTTCTCTGGTTGGCCTGACCCAGTTTTCAGCCACTCTCAGAGTAAAAATGCTCATATATTCACATTTTACACTTTTTATCAAGGACCTGCTCCCAAAGGGCTCTCTGGCAGCAAGAACAGACTGAATGTAATGAGAAGTTTCTTTTTAGAGCAGGACAGAAGACTTGTGCTGTAATGAGGGGCAGCAAAAAATACTAATTTTAAAAACTAGCATGGGGATTCTTTAAAAATAAAATCAATTTTTAAGTTTGTTTATAAATTTAAATTCTCTCCTTTGAGAGGAAGAAGTAACACACTACTTATTACAAGGTTTATTATGATTACAGCATATTTACACAAAAGTGCAAGAAAACTTTGAACTCTCACTTGAGGATGTCTGCCATTGTCCAACAACTTCAGACAATTCAGGAGCAATGTTCTGATTGTGCCATAGTGCTTCTTGTTCTGGTTTTTCTTCAACATCATATTGCAAGCAACTCTAAAGAGAAAGTTGAACAAAATAGTGAAATCCTGGATAATATCTTTGTGCCAGAAAAAAAAAAAAAAAAGAAGCTTTAAACAATATTCTACAGCTGTTGATGTTCCAAACTGTGTGATGAGTCTACAAGGCTTTATCAGCAAAGAAGTTTACTTGGAGAAATGGTGAAAAAAGGAAAAAGTCTGTTTTGATCTAGTGGGGCTGAGATTTAGTGAGGTTGTGTGTGATTGTCACTTGATCATGATTTTTGGTCTGTGTTCTGACTAGAACTGCACCAAGAATGAAATACTGCAATAAAAATGACCAAAACTCACTTGTACAGCAGAATTGCCACTGGCATTGTGAAAGGGTTTTGGTATTTGTCTTCAGTCTCTTCACAGAGCGTGGTGAGGTCATAGAGCTTCACTATGTCACTGCCACTTGCTGAAAAGGAAAATCTTTCATTAATCAATCATTAATCAACATCACATTAACATCAAGCTTTTCAAACTGATCTAAACCTTCTTACCTTTAAACAGCCAATAGGTGTGGCCTTCTTTGGTGCAATTTGATTTCAGAAAAGATAAGATATTTTGAGCAATATCTTTTATCACTTTGGTAGAAAAATTGGAGTTTTCCAAATTGGGAATATCTTCAGTCTTGATCATTTCATATTTCTGCAAAGAACAGAAATTAAAGACTCAAGCTGAGGAGGGTTTTGTGACACCAAAATTAACATATCAGTGTCTCCATCAGCAGCTAAAACAAAGGCTGCTATTAAGATAAACTGAGTTAATTTCTATGATTTACTTTAAGCAAGCACATCTTGATGACACCACTCAAACAAAGCTTTAAGAAGGATCCATTTCTGCCACAAACATGGCAAATGGAGAACAAAAGGTGAGGAAAAATAAGGGAGAGAAGGTACAACATCTAAAACTTAGTCAGCCTAGGAAAAACTCCAGGCTACCAGGTAGAACAAACACAGCTGGTCCACAGTAAAACAGCAGAAACATCCAAAAGCTTGCATCTGTCTTGGCAAGGGAGCAGTGCAGATTTCAAGATGTAAGAAACTGATTTCTGCAGTTGCATTTTTTATTTTTGCTTTCACTCAAGCACCAGGGGAAGAAGGAATCTTGCATGCATGAAAGGGAGGGGAAGAAAGAATCCACTATTTTTAGATGACTGCTGCAAGCTGTCTAAGATGCTTCTCCCTCTGCACCACAGGATTTTTGTCATCTTTGCTCAGAACAGTGTGAAGGATCTGTGATAACTGAGGCAATTTTAGAAGATGAAGAATGAATTATTATTTTAAGGCAAAATGCAGAGATAGCAGACTTACCTGAACAATTCCATTGACATGAAAGCACATCACAAGCTCTGGTACATTGCATATTAAGTTGTCCAACCAATAGTCAATCCCTGTCAGCACATTTATTGGCTTGTTGTTATCCCTAAAATAAAATAATTCTAGTGTTACTTTAACCTTTGTTTACCCTTCAGAAAACATTAAGAAATTAAGAACATATACAGGAAATATTAGGGATGTTTAAAATGGAATTTAGGTTTAAGTGACCTGAGAGTGGATGAAGACTAAAACAATGCTTTGTGAATTGTTGTGTTAATAATGAGTTATAACCAAACAGATGTGCTGATCTCTCCAATGGAACATGCTCAGATTCCATCAGCAGTTTGGAGTGTTTGCCCACATTTAACAGGCTGCAGATGTCACACCATTACCAAGATAGTAAGTACCTCAGAAGTTCTAAAGGAATAGCACTTTTAGCTGCAATTAATTATAGCACAAACCTACTCTCAGGCCTTCCAAAGCTCCCTGCAGAGCAAGGTACTGTTAACTCCTTAATATGTCTTAAAAAAAATGACAAATACACCAAATACACCAAACCAGCTTCAAGTTTTTGCTCATTCTTTGCCCACATAGAGGGAGGAGCAGGATGAGGGGCAATGAAGGGATTGACATTAAATTGGGACTGGAATGGTTCTGTCTCACTGCTCAGTAACATTTGAAGTGCTTATGCCCAACAAGCAGCTACTGAAATTCAGACTCCCAGGAAGATAAATTTTACTGCTCTCTTTTTAAAAAAGAGCAAAAAATGCAGATAGCTAACTAGGAAGCAGAGTAACAAGTCAGTCAAGGCTGGTAGAAATGATACCTGTGATTTTCTAAGCTCACCTGAGACGCAGGCTCACAGCAGGGTATCTCCCACCTCCAAATATTGGCATATTTGATCCCACCAACATGTGGATATCCTCAAAGGTCCACAGGATATTACGAACAAAGTCATTTTTCAGTCCCTTCATTAGGAGACAACAGAATTGGCCAGTAAATCAGTGGCATAACACTCATTCTCTCCATGACATTCTGTGGAATTATGAGCCAGCAAGAAGCCAAAGCAGCAAATAAAAGCCAGCAGGTGACAAACCCAGCACGTTCACAGGAACTGAAAACTGCAGATGCCACACAAGCTGCAGCTACAGGGACTGAGGTTTGCCCTTGGCTCCAGCTCAGCCTGGGGGTGCAGCTCTCACACACAGCATACCTGACTGCTCTCCCCGTCACTGAACAGAGGAGACAGGTTTTGCTCTCTGGGGGCTGAGGCCACGTGCCCCACTAGATATGAGGGCTCAAGAGGAACATTTCCCTGTGGAGAGCACAAGGATAACCAGTGATTCTGCTGCTGAGGTCAAGTCAGCCATTTAGAGAGATATGAACAACAAAAGCGTGTAAGGGAAAAACCTTTATCTCCAACATCTTTAAATAAATCTGCATAAAACTGCAAAAAGCCTCTAGGCAGTGACTAGAATGCTTCTTTTCTACAGTTAGTGCCAAAATGTTGTGTTTTGTAACATTTTCAGAGGCTCTGGGAAGAAACCAGAAGTATTTACAAGAGCTCCTTGTTAACCCAGGGTCAACACCACATTATCAGTGTCCAGAAGCAAAACCTCTATCCTGCTGGTTTATTTAGGAACTAAAGAAAATGGCACTGTGCAAATGCACAACAGCTTCTTTATGATAAACAGTCTGCTGAATGGGGCAGTGGTTCCTCAAGAGGGTGGAAGAGAGGAGTCCTTTTTCTAAAAGCTTTCAAGCACTGAAGCATTTCTCCACACAACACATGCAGTTACAATTTTATGGCCAATGTGGGTTAGAAACCCCCTAAATTTGGCAGCTCACTTGGTAACATTGTGCAAGCACAACTGTAGCATCATTATTATATTAATGCAGACTGAAGACAGCAGATCTTTCAACCTCTCCAAAATTTCATCAATTCTGGTTTAAATTACTCACAAAAACCACAGGAATGAACAGTTTTCATAAATAAGTTTAGCCAGAATAGAAACTCTGAATTAGGGCCTGATACTAATCATAGCTTGTTGCATAATTGCTGTAAACATCTCCCCCTTCACTTGTGTAATCTCATGGCGAGTATTTTTAAGTACTGCTTAACTCTTTTCCATTTTCAGAAATTTTCATTTTCCTCTTCCCCCAAAGAATTCAGGGCCACCAGAAAATGGATTTTAATAGCAGATTTAAAAAGAAAGGCCAGAACTTTAAGTTTCCAAACACATCTTCTGATTATGAGCATTTTCCTACTCTTAGGTAAAGGCAGGGATGAATACTCTTAGCCAAAGGATTTGTTTCTCAAAGACGCTGGGATAAACAGCAATTTAGCACTGCAGTGACAGAACAAATATCTGAATTTTGGAGCTCTGAATCACTGGCAAATCTGAAAGTTCTCCAAGCTCTCCTCATGCCTTAGCTCAGCTCTCTCAGCAAAGGGAGCTGCAGCAGCACAGCTGAGAACCTTTCCCCCTCTGTGGTGCCATGTAAAACATCCTTCACACCAACCTGGTTGGAGGCACCTGGGTCTTCAGAGAGCGAGGAAGGCATTTCAAAGGGAGCTGGCCAGGAGGCCCTTCCTGCTTCATCACTCTCACCTGCAACAGGACCCTCCTGGTGCTGCTTGGAAGTGGAAGGAACAGGCTGAGCAGCTCCATCTCCATTGATGCTGACAAGGAAACATTGACAAGTTCAGCTGACAAGATGCAAACAGAGCCATTTTTAGAGTTGTTATGTTTGGTGCACCCTTGCCAACAAATGACTTGGCTGATATGCACTTAATTAAGTCATGCTGTTTATTTTATTCTTGAGTGTTTTAATTTTAAAGTAAAATACTTTGAATTCCATCAAAACATTTCATGTTATTTCCTGACCTCACCCCTCAATTCCCTCTGCTTAAGGAAAAAGCAGTAAATTAATCAGACTATAATGGAATTTTAACATTTACCCCAAGACCAAAAACCAAGGAGAAGTGGTGCAGAATTCAAGTGTCATGCACACAAAAAGACAAAAGGTTACCTGTAATATAAAAACTTAGAAAGGATTGCCTTCTGGTACCAATGCTCTTTACTCTTCTTTTTTCTTTGCCATTTCTGATCAATCAGCCTTTGATAAAACTCTTTCAGCCATGTCCAGTCCCCTGTCTGGGCAACAGAAGAAATATGAAAATAATGTCAAGAAGCACCTGCAAAGTAAACCAACTTCCTTATAAACTTACAAATACTCCTCCACAGGAAGAAACTGAGAAAATAACATCAGAGCTGAAGTCCTGAATTGGTCATTTATTGAAAATACAGCTTTTAGGAAAGTTATGTTCTTATTGATAATCTGACCTAATTAGAAAATCAGATAGATAAGAGGCTACATAGTAAGAAATACATATTGCTTATAAAATCAATCCAATGGTATAACAATGCTGAAGTAATTACACAGGAGTGAGACACAGAATATTAACCCTACAATGCCATGAACACAGGACATCAGTGTAGTTTGTGGGTAAATGCTGCAGAACAGAACACCCTTGGCACCCACATATGGTTTTTAGGGATTTCCAGACTTTTTCTTGCTATTCTGTTCCTGAAATAATGCATTTTGCCCACATTGCACAGTTATCAAGAAGCAAGTGGTTCACCTGAGATGATCTCATGAAGAGTTCCTGGATATCCAGCTCATCCAGCAGCAGTGTCCTCCCAATCCTGTGCACTGCCATGCTCACGTGGGACTTGCTGTAAGGGATCTTCAGGAGTTTTTTGATGTTCTTGCAGAAGGAAAGTGAAAAGAGAGAGTATTTAATATAATTATACAGTGACTTGGGGAAATCCAAGCCTAAACTCCACTCCACTCCTTCCTTCCTTCCTTTCCTTCCTTTCCTTTCCTTCCTTCCTTTCCTTCCCTTCCTTCCTTTCTTTTCCTTCCTTTCTTCCTTTCCTTCCCTTCCTTCCTTTCTTTTCCTTCCTTTCTTCCTTTCCTTCCC